CCCCCATGCCCAACAGCCGCACGGCGAGCGCATTCGTGCTTAGTTTACGCCGTGGAGTCCCACAAGGCAACGACAGAGACCCGGCCATGGCGACACGCAGCAACTGGGCTGAATCTCGGACACAGAGTGCCGAGTAGGAAAAAGGAGTAAATACTCTGATTCCACATATTTAAAAACAAAAAGAAGGATGCTTATCTCTGCTGTCATGCCACCATTAGGCTAGCGGTTACTGTTGCATCAGAGGAGTCAGTGACTGGAAGGAGGCTCCCCGCAGGGGCAGCTGGGGATCTGGGGCTGGCCCCTGTCTCAGTCTGGGTGCTGGCCATGTGGGTATGTGAAATTCATACTGAAATTCGCACTGTCCACTTGCATCTGGATGTGTATTAGACATCAGGAACCAGTAAAAAAAGAAAAATGGAATGGGTATTTTACCCATGGGGAAACTGAGGTACCAAGAGGGGAAAGGCAAGGTCACCTGGCGAAGAAGGGATAGAACAGGGCCCCCGACCTGGCCCCAGGTCTCCAGCTTTAACCCCACCCACCCTGCCTCTTGCTTCCCCTGGCAGAGTCGGCCATGGAGAGGGACCGCTACATGAGCCCCATGGAGGCCCAGGAGTTTGGCATCTTGGACAAGGTTCTGGTCCACCCTCCCCAGGATGGTGAGGATGAGCCCGAGCTGGTGCAGAAGGAGCCTGTGGGGGCGTCGACGACAGCAGAGCCTGCCCCTGCCAGCATCTGAGAGCCAGACCTCACCCTCCAGAGGAGAGTCAGGGGAGGCCAGGTGCTAGTCAGAAGCTGGAGCTGCAGCCCTGCCCACCCCTCGCTGCTGAGCCTAGAAAGGCCCCAGGAGGAACTCTGGGTTTGGGGATGCCCCTCAGGGCAGGTATCTTGAATGAGACACTGTGATTTTCCATTAAATCTTTGTAGTCTTTGAGCCCCATCTGTGTCACCTTCCCTGCCTGCTCCACCGTGGCATGCACACCTGTGCCCTGCACGATGCCTTGTCTGCCTTCACCCCAGCCCTGAGGCTCTGACCTTCCAAGCCCTAACTGCAGCAAACCCTACTGAGCAAAAAGGATATTTCAGGCACTATTCTAGAGGCCACGACATATCCTGAAGCAAACAAAATTCCCTGTCTTCAAAGAACTTACTCTTGTGGTGGTAGACAGTTTTTTAAAAAACCAGGGAAAGAGGTATGCAGAATGTGTGTGGTGTGTGTGTGTGTGTGTGTGTGTAAGAGAAAGAGAGTTACAGCTTTCAGTGGGGTGGCCAGTGAAGGCCTTGCTGAGAAAGTGATGCTTGAACAAGGTTTAAGGTAAGAGAAGGACAGAGCAGTCCAGGCAGCAGGCATAGCAAGTGCAAAGGCCCTGTGGCAGGACTGTGACTGCCATGTGGGAGGGCCCCCAAGGAGGCTCGTGGCTGAAGTGAAGTGGTGGAGGGACAAGGCAGAGATGTGAACAGAAAGGAAGGAGGACAGAGCTTAGAAGGCCTGGTGGATCTGAGCAGAGGGACATGAGCCTTGGAGGGTTCTGAGAAGAACAAAAAAGCAGGAGCACTATGGCTCCCACGGAGTACTGGGAGGAGTACAGCCAGCGTGGAAACCGGGAGACGAGTTCGGAGACTCGGAATAATCAGATGAAAGCTGGTGGCTCCAGCTGGGTGGCCAGGAGAGGTCGGATTCTAGCCAGATTTTAAAGGCAGAGCTGACGGGCGGAAAGGCTGGCAGAAGGCGCAGGTGTGGGGGCAGGGAATCAGGAGTTCGGTTTGGACACACGTTACTTCTGGTGCTTGATGTGCCTCAGACATCCGGGGTGGGGGGATAAATCTGGGGTCAGGATTGAGAATGAAAATGGAAAAGACATCATTGGGTATGTCAGTAAACCAGCAGTCAGCCTGAGAACCGGCTGCTGGATCTGGCACAGCGAAGTCACTGACGGAATGAGCGGAACCCCACGTTCAGGGTTGTAAGGGCTGAATGCCAGCCTGGTGTGCACCCAGAGGGAAGGGGTGGGAAGACATGGGAGCTCAACACATTTTCCAAGAAATATCATTGTATAAGGAGAGCAGAGAATGTGTGGCTGTCCCCAGAGGGATCGTGGGGTCAGTATTTCAACATGCATTTCTAAAAAGATAAATCTTCAAAAAGGCCACCAAAATACCGTTTGCAAAACCCGATCCCCCCAAAAAACAAAATCATCCCAAATCCAACCAGTGTGCACATCTCCCCAGTTGCCTCTATGTTACTAGTTTGTTCGAATCCGCCTCCAGGTAAGGCGCATACCTTGCAACTGATGGATGCTTCCCGAAGCCTCTTTTAACTGCGGGTTTTCTCCTCCCTCTCTCTCTCAATCTCTCCCTCTTTTTCTTCTCTTTCCTTGAAATTCAGCTGTTGGTCTGTGGACTTCCCATCTGAATTTTGATGATGGGATCAGGACCGGCTGTGACCTCTGTCTGTCCTTGATATTTCCTGTGACTTGACGTATAAAACTAGACAAGTCTGGTCAGGTTCAGATTCCGCTTTCTAGCAAATGGCCTCTTAAGTGGAGGTGTGTCCGTCCATCAGAAGGCCCCCAAAGGGTCGTGGTCCCTCATTTTGTGACGTTAGGGGCCGATGACAATCCGTGTCTAGATCACTAAATATTCCAGTAAAGGCTGCAAAGTGGTGCTATGTCAATCCTACCCTTAAAGCAAGAGGAGGGTTTTGGGGTTTGCTTTTTACTTATAAGGTGGGAGCCAGGCCGTTTGTACACAGGTAGGGATGACGCAGACGAGAGTAGGAACAGGTGATGCTTAGCTTCAAACCTTGACCCCAACCTCTACCTTGACATCATGGCCTTGATGTCACTCCCCTGGACCCCGTGCCCCTGACCCCTTCCTCTCAGCGGACTTTTCCCTCAATCTAAAGTTCTGGCCGACCCCACAACCCGGGCCTTGGCCCAAATCCTCCTACAGCCCCTGACGTCACGCCCCAGGCGCCTTTCGCCGTTGAGCCCCGCCCCCGGCCGCCACCATCTACCGCTCCCAAGGAGCCCACAGCGCGGGAGAGGAGGCGGGTTCTCTGAGGAGCCAATAGCTTGAGAGGGCGAGCTGAGCAGCAGCCAGTAGCCTTTGGCCAGGGGGGCGGGGCTCTAGGGAAGGCCAATCATTGGAGGGACTCCGTGAGGCCACAGCCAATGGCTCCGGGGCGGGGGCGTAGCCCTGACTCCGACAGCTTTCACGACCCGGCCCCGGGGTTATGGCCGGGAGTGGGCGGCTGGCGCTGGGGAAGCTGCCGGTACCCGGCTGGGTTCGGGGATCGAGCCCGGCCGTATTGAGCCGCCTTCGGGACGAGGCCGTGGTGCATCCGGGTTTCCTAAGCGCGGCCGAGGAGGAGACGCTGAGCTGTGAGCTGGAGCCCGAGCTGCGCCGCCGCCGCTACGAATACGACCACTGGGACGCCGTGAGGCCGGCGGCGCTGGGGGCGGGGTCTGCGATGGCGCGCGGGGCAGGGCTACGGTGGGGGCGGGGCCTGCGGCGTTCGAGGTCGGCATGGGGGTGGAGCGCTGGGTTGTAGAGGGGTACGGTTGGGGGCGGGGTCTTGATGCCCAGGGCCTTTGCGGGAGGAGATGAGGGCTTGGCCATAGCTGGATCCCTGACCTGGAACTCTGGGGTGTGTGGGGGACAGGAGCAAGGTTAGGAGCCGAAACAGGTGTGGAGCGAGAAGAGGGAGGTTCATTGGTTGGGGGCGGAGACAGAAGACTTGAGTGGAATCGAGTTGTGGGCGGAAACAAACAAAATTGAACATTTCGGTGGGACCAGCACTGGGGACAAGCTCTGGGACTGAATTGGAACCTGAAGGCAGGTACAGAGGAGTGAGGCCGGGCCTAGTAGGACAGGGGTTGGGGTTTGAGACCCAGGATCTTAGGGTAAGTAGGACCAAGGTGATAAGTTGAGGGTGGTGTCAAGGGTCATGCTGGGAAAGCCAGTTCTTTGCACTCTACCCCCCTCACCCGTGCCTCAGTTTCCCCGTTCCCTCTGCGAGCTTCCTGGCTTGACAGAAGCTCTCTGTGCAGGCCATCCACGGTTTCCGAGAGACAGAAAAGTCACGCTGGTCCGAGGCAAGCCGGGCCATCCTGCAGCGCGTGCAAGCAGCCGCCTTTAGCTCTGGCCAGACCCTGCTGTCCCCAGTGCATGTGCTGGACCTGGAACCTCGGGGCTACATCAAGCCGCACGTGGACAGCATCAAGGTGGGCAGAGGCCAGAGCCTTGGATGGGGATGGGCCGGTGGGGTTGATTGGCCAGAGGTTGATTGGCCGCCATGCCCGCTCTTCCAGTTCTGCGGAGCCACCATCGCTGGTCTGTCCCTACTATCTCCAAGCGTCATGCGGCTGGTGCACACCCAGGAGCCAGGGGAATGGCTGGAACTCTTGCTGGAGCCAGGCTCCCTCTACATCCTTAGGTACTGCCCAGCCAAGGGGCCCCCATTCCCCCTAGTAACTCCTCAGATGTCCACCTAGCATATTTCTCTTTTTCAGCCCTCCCAGCAGACACGAGCATTCCCCTGTGGCAGGCAGGCCACCTGGTGCAGGGCCGCCCTCACCCCATCCAGCCACAGCCTGTTTTCTCTTGCAGGGGCTCAGCCCGTTATGACTTCTCCCATGAGATTCTTCGGGATGAAGAGTCCTTTTTTGGGGCGCGTCGGGTTCCCCGGGGCCGACGCATCTCTGTGATCTGCCGCTCCCTCCCTGAAGGGATGGGACCAGGGGAGCTGGGGCAGCCGCCCCCAGCCTGCTGAACCCCCAGCTCTTTCCCCAGCTTCTCAGAGACACCGTGTTGGTGAATAAAGTTGGAGTGTGGACAGACTGGCCTGCCTTGCACTGGCTGTTCGCAGGGGCTGAGCGGGGCCAGGGAAGCCCAGGAACCCCCTTCCCCCGACCCCTCCCCACTCTGGGAGCTGAGGTGGCCGGGGCAAGGCGCACTCGGGCTGAACACAATCATGCACTGAACACAGTCATGCGGTGGCAGTTCCTTTATTATGCTCCTTGCCCGGCACACCTCCCCTCTGGTCTCCAATAAATAAGTCAGCAGAGCTCCTCCAGGAGCCTCGGGGGGCCCCAGGCCAGGCGTCCTTAGGCGCCACAGCTACAGGCGGCCGCCGAGAGCTGGGGCAGCCACTGCCAGTGGTGGCGGTCGTCAAGGAAGGCCACATCAGCGTAGCGGGTGGGCCGGCAGCAGGGCCCACCGTGGGCTCGGCCCTGGCCCCGCAGGTGGGCCAGCGTCAGGCCATGCTGGGTGCGCGCATCACGGGGGCAGCTGCCTGCACAGTAGCGGAAGACGACCGTCTCCTCTGACGTGTAGCCCAGACCCAACTCGGCCACGGGTAGGGACAGGCTCCACAGCTGGCACGGGGTGGCCAGGGCTCGGCGTGGGCGGGCCCCTGCGGAGGACAGAGGGGCAGCTAACAGCTAGTGGGGTCTGGGCAGGAGGGAGTCGGGGAGTCACATGGGGTCCAGGGGGTCCTTACCCAGCTGCAGCCTTGGGGTCCCTCGGAGCTCTTCCTCTACCACTGGAGCCCCCCAAGCACCAGGGCCCCTGGTGAGGCCCAGCCACAGCAACAGGAGCAGCAGAGAGCAGAGCAGGACGCGTCTTGTGCCCATAGTGACAGGGGTCCTGATGGTGGGGAGGCCTCGCTCCCTCAATTTATCCCACTGCCAAGGCAGGGCCGAGGTGGGGGTGGGGGGTGGAATCACCTCTTCGCTGCCGCTGCTGTAACCACAGGATGACCCCCATGTCCCGCAGCACACACTGTCCTATGTCTTCCGACTGGTTCCTCTGCCCCACCCGCTGTGCCTCCAAGAGTTAAGCGTTCACCCCCTCCCTGCCCCATCCAGACATTCCGCAGACCCGTTTCTGACACCCACTTCACCCCTGATTTACGAGTGTTGCGGCAGCCAGAGCCGAACTCAGGGCGGGCCACGGGGTCCCCTGCCCCACCTGCTTCCGGAAAGAAGTTGGACGGGCCACTGAGAGCCCACCAGTGGGACCCCATCCCCACTCAGGGTGCATGGGGTCTGGAGTCCCCACACTGTGCACCAGATAGAGCGGGATTAGGGGGGAGGGGACAGGTCAGCAGGTAGCCGAGCTGTCACTTGGAGGATTAAGGCTTCATGCTCCTGTCTCCAGGCCTGTCCCAGCCGGCGTCAAAACAGGAAAAGGGAGAGGCCGGGGTACAGCCAAGAACCGGAACACGAGGCTAGGAAGCTCACCCCGCAGGGACTCCTGTCTCTAGAAGGCCCACCTGAGGTCCCAGGGACCTCAGCCCCCTCCCAGCGTTAGGGCGGGAGGGGCAGTTACACCTGCCGGTTCTAAGACGCAGCAGAAATTTCCAGTGACTTCCATGCCCCTGTGACCTCAGGGAAAGGAGGCCCTCCCTCGCCTGTGAAAGGGGGCTAACCCAGGTCCTTCCCACACGAGGCTCTGAGGACAGGTGGCACGTTTAGCGTGGGACACGCTGCCTGAGGGAGGAGCTTGGGAGGGCAAGCCTGCTTTGAGGCCTCAGAAGCACGAAGAACTTGGGTAGCGCTTGAAAAGCTGCTCCATCTCATGGAGGTCAGACTGGGTGGAAGCTCAGGTAGGAGCCTGCAGCCCTGGGGGGGGGGGGGGGGGACAGAAGAAACCAGCATGTTTACCCATGGCTGGGGGCACGCTTGGGACGCAGGTCCCCACCCCAGGCTGCCGGGGAGGGGTACAAACCCACGGTGGGGGAGCCTTCGCTCCGGAAACAGCCAACCCCCTCCCTCCTCCCTGGAAAACCCGGGCTCAGGAATTTGTCCTGCACTGGTGAGCAGAGAAACATGGGTTCGGGAACTGCTGTGGGCTTTTCATGTGAGCAGAGCTGGGGACGGACCCCGACTCCGTCTGCCTCTTGTTGGTGTGGTTACTGTGGCACCTGCTGAGACCACCTTCAGACAACTGTCGCTTGTCCAAAGTCACATTCGAAGCCAGATCCTGCCGCACACAAGGCCCTTGCTCCTAGCCACCAGGGTCTTAGCCCTCCATCGCATGGCAGGGAGGCCAGGGGTCAAATCGTCAGGCCAGGGCAACCCTGCTTTCCTGCCGCCCCCAAAAAGACCTGGCAGAAGGATGAGGAGGGAGGCTGGACAGACCTGGGACATTCCTAGGAATTAGCCTGTCATCTCTGGCATCCCTGCTCGGCGGCCAAGGGCCTGTGGAACTGGGTGGGGAAGTTTTCCACCTAGCATCCAGCCTCGAGCAAAACGGAAGCCCCACATCCTCCCCCCCGCCCCCAGCCGGATCACACAGAACGGGTTCAGAAGGAGCGCCAGCAGCCAAATTCCATTTCCAGCACTGAAACTGTCCACAAACTCAAAAAACCTTCCCACGGCAGAACACTGGCAATGCGAGATAAAATAGAAATATAACGGAGTCATTAGAAATACGGGGAGCCCTAGAAACATTGCTGGAAAGCTGAAAAATAGGGCCCAGGGGCCAACAGCAGCAACAAAAGGGCTTGGGACTTCAGGGCCACTTTGGGAGAGAGGCCACCGGCTGAGAACCACCTAACACAGGCTCAGCCCAGGGCTCCTGGGCCACCACTGTGGGAGGTGGGAGCTAAGGCAAAAGCATCAGTGGATTTGCCTGCAAAGCTGACTGCCCAGTGGCCCCCCCAAAGCCCCAGAGGCAGCCTCAGGTCCCCATTCGAAGTTCTACAGCACAACAGTCAATCGTGAGGAGGCATCAGGTAAGGAATCAGGCGTCTGGCAGAGACCAGAACAAGACAAATGCTTGAAACAAAAACGTGAGAGAAGGGATCAAAGGCTTTAGAGGCGAGGTGATCTGAAAAGGAAGCCAAGATAATTCGAGAGCTGGAGAAGCACTTCGTGGGTGAAAGGGGATAAGCTATAACCAAAAACAGGACCAGAGAAGCTGGAGCCGGAGAGATACCCCCCTCCACCCCCGCATGCGAAAGGCTGAGGACTGAGAGCGGGCTCGGAGGTGTGGCGGAAGGTTCCAGAAGGAGGGGCCCGCGCCGGGTGAGGCGGCGCCCAGGAAACCCCCAGGTGACCTGGAACTGAAGACGCGGGGCTCTGGGATTCGGGGCGCAGGGGAGGGACGAGGCGAGCACCCAGGAAGTTCTGGAGCCGAGCTCGTTTATTGGGCGGCGCCGGGCCGTCACTCCTTGAGGGAGAAGTGCATCTTGTCGCTGATCATCTTGCGCTCGGGGTTGAGGCGCTTGAGGATCTGGGCGAGCACGTTCACCGTCTGCTCGCTGCTCAGCCCCGTCTTCTTCGTCTGGAACTTCTTCAGCAGGTCCTTGGTGGTCATGGGCTTGCGCGTCAGGTAGCGGCGCACAGCGTCCTCGGTCACCTGCACGTCCCTGAGGAGCGGGGCACAGGGAGGGTGGCCGTCAGCAGGAGGCTCCCCCACGCCCGGCCCGGCCCCGGCTGCCCTCGCGCCCACTCACCCGCTGCTGGGGGTCGACTTCCCGGACTGGGGCTGAGGGGTCGACTTCCCCGACAGGCTCTGGGGTCCCGGCTCCAGCCGCAAACGCTTGGCCACCGGCGTGTCGTTCGTCCGCTTGCCTGGGGGAGTGGGGGCAGGGCTGAGTCCTGTGCCCCCGGGGGAAGGGCATGGGGGACCAGCGTCCCCTGTGCAGGGAGCGGGGAGGGGGTGTGGACAGGCCTGTGGCCCGACTCTGGGCTCTGCCCCGGAGGCAGAACAAAGGACCGCAGCGGGGACGGCAGCGAGGGGCAGTGGCCGCTCACCCTGCTCCAGCTTGGTGGCCGCGGCCCGCAGGGTTGACGACGTGCTGCCGCTCTCCGCGCTGGGTGTGCCTGGCCTGCTGTCGCCCCGCGAGCTGCCTCCCGACGGCCTCCGCTCCCTCTTGGGGGGTGTCTTCTTCTTCTGCAGAGACGGGGTTGGGGACGTGAGTCCAGGCACGGGGCAGCCACCTGCCCGCTCCGGCTCCAGGCTGGGCCTTACCGCCATGAAGAGGGCCGGTGACGCCTCGCTGTCGATGTCGCTCTCCTCCGAGCTGTCCGACTCGTCGCTGCTGTCTGCTGGAGCCAGAGGCAGGGCGTTGCTGCCGGGGAGCCCGCCCGCCCCAGCTCCGCCTCGGATGGGGGCGCTCTGGGAGTTGGGGGGCGGCTGCCCCGGGGAAGCGGGTGGGGACCGACCTTTCCTGCGCTTCTTCTCCTGTGGCGTGGGTGCCTTCTTCTCCTCCTCCTCCTCCTTGTCCTCCTCGGGCGGCTTCTCCTCCTCACTCTCCTCGCTGCTCTCGCTCTGCTCGTCGACGCCCTTGGGGCCCTCCTCCTGCTGGGTGACCTTGGGCTTGCCCTCCAGCTCATCCTGGGAGCTGCTGAAGACAGAAGGCGGGCACAGGGTGAGGGAACAAGTGCACCAGGCCCGGCCCAGGCCTCCCGCCTGCCGCCCGCCTCACCTCGAGCCGTCGGACATGTAGTCTACCTCCTGGCCCTCGAAGTCCCCGTCGTCGCTGTCTTCAAACGCCTCATCGTCGGACCCCTTCTTCTTCTTCCTCTTCTTGCCGCCCTTGGCGGGGGGCGCCCTCTTCTTGGCCTTGGAGGCTCGGCCACCTGGGGAAGCAGGGCGGGGCTCAGGCCGGCCCTCATCCCGTCCGGCATATCCAAGGACGTCTGGACATCTCGGGGGCCTCGCTAACCAGGCAGAGACACCCCCAAGGACTCACCTCTCCCGTGCAAACCCGACCAGTCTCCACCCCTAACTCCCTTTCTCGGACTCTCACACTCACACCCATCATCTCCTTCCCTCCGGCCGCCAGGACTGGAAACCAGGTACCGAAATCCAGAAACCTCGCTTGTAGCCCAGGAACTGCCAGAATTACGTGAAGTGGCAGATCCGAAACCCCGATGAAGGCCACCGCTGAGACCTTGCCGTCGTCACTCCTTTCTGCCTCCTACCAACTCCGGGGCTTCCCCAGTACCCTGCTCTGTCGTGTTCTCATTCCCAGCGGGCCGTGAGTGACCAAACTTTCCTACAGCGGCATTTACTGAGTCATCACCCAAACACCTTGACAAAGTACGACCCAGCCCCCCGGGGGGTGCCAGCGGCCTCACCTTCCTCGCCACTGGCCTCGCTGTCGTCAGACGACATCTCCAGGTCGTCCTCCAGGTCGTGGATGCGTAGCTCACTGGCTTTCTTGCGGCTGCGCTTCTCCTTCTCCTCGTCTTCCTCGTCCTGGTCCTGATCCTTGAGCCGCCGCTGCTGCATGATGCTGAAGTGGTTCAGGACTTTGTTTCTCCTGGGGGCAGGGGGAGGGGTGCAGTGGGGGTTACAAGGGGCCTGGCTCCACAAACCGGGCCTTCCCCCTGCAATCTCCACCAGCCGCTCACCCAAAGGGGAAACCATAGACAGGAAGGAGTTAGGTGATCTGAGGATGTGTGACCCCAGATAATGCGATCCTGAAATCCCCTGGGGGAGAGCTGGCCTTTCTTCGATTCCCTCTCTGCTCCGCGTCCCTCAGGCAGAAGGTCTCAGCGCGGAGCTGGTATCCCAGCATCTCTCTTGAGCTCAGGGCCTTTCTCAGGCAGAACTTGGCTACAACGTATTCATGTCCGTGTGTTCTTATGGTAGTTGATGGGTGCCTTTGTTTTTATGAGATGCGACACCACCGGTGTTTCCATTTAGCATGGTGATAAAAAGTTTCAAAAAATATTGGCTACGGAGAGCCTTAGGATTGTATCAAATAGCATGAGGTTTCTCAGTAGTGGGAAAAGGGGTGAGGTTCTGTCTCACGAGAACGTGAGCAGATTTACTACTACCGAGGGGCACATTTACAAATGGTTAAGATGATAAATTTTGTATTTTTTTATTATTAGAAGTATTTTAATTACAAAAAAAGAAGAAAACACTGACATGTATTACAATATGCCTGAACCTTAAAGACTTGTGCTCAGTGAAATACGCTAGTCACAAAAGGACAAAGACTGCATGATCAGTGAGGTCCCTAGAAAGGTCGAACTCAGAAACGGAAAGTGGAATGGTGGCAGCCAGGGGCTGGGGGAGGGGGACAAAGAGGTTCTGTTTAATGG